ACTCTGACCCACCCACACTCCGACCCAACCATATGCAGGCACCTCACCACCACACGGCTCACACTCAGACCCGCGCACTGGATTCACGCTCAGACACACCCCAAGAGGAAGCCGCCAGGGAGGGGGGTCACTCGCCCGTTCGAGGCCAAGTGGCGGTGATGTATCGAGCGAGGCGCCCATTTGATGTTAAGTGACCGCGTCTGCATTGAAAGCATGCCGTTGGGACCTGAACGAGGGGGGAAGCACGAGTGCGAGAATGACGGCCACCAGGGAGTGGCTGCGTAGAGGTATGAACCCGCCAGCCCATTGGGCTACAGGCCGTCTAACGATGTTCCTCTTTCCTATTCCACAACCCCTTCTTCCCCTTCTGTAAGGGGTCTGCCCCTCCCCCTACACCCCCCCCCTGGACCTGGACGGGGTCCCCTCGAGGGGCTGGAACGCCCAAGATGGTCCAATATGGCTCTAAGAGGGCCTCCGATGCTCCAATATTGCCCAAGATGGCTCAATACAGTGCAAAGTCGCTCAAGATGAGCTACATCATGCTTCCAAGATGCATCACGAGGGCCACAATACGGCTGCAGGTGCTCTTGGAGACCCCTCGGGACCTCCCCGAGATCCCGGAACCTGTCAAAAACATAAACCAACTAATGAGTTTTGGTTTCTCTCAGGTTCTCTTCCGATGCGGTTCTGATGCCCCAAGATGGCGCCACTATGGCCAAATAGTGCCCTGAGAAGGGCGCAGGAAGCCCTCGAGACGGCACCAAGAGCGCCTAACAGCGCCCCAAGAGAGACCCAAGAGCGCCCCAAGAGGCTATCTCGATGGCCCCAGATGGGGGGGACACAACGGGAGGACCCCCCCCCCCCCCATCATTTCACCTACACACTCCACGGCGGCCCCAAGAGACCCTCCAGGGCTCCCAAGAAGCCCACAAGAGAGCCCCAAGATGGCCTCAAGAGGGCCCCAATACCCCACCCCAGAAAAAACACCGATAAGGCCCCAATACAATCCAAAGGAGCTCAGAGATGACTCCAACACCCTGACCACCCTCCTCTCCTTGCCATTGTTGGTTCGCTATGTGTGCCCATTCTTGCCATTTCCCGTCAACACGTGGGCAGTGCTTCTGAATGGGCTGGCGGGGTTACGCGAAGCGTCAAGAATTACGGTTAGACAGGGGCGGTGAGATGAGAAGGATGAGGGACGAGGGATGCCGAGAGGAAAATCAGGAATATGATAAGGAGGGCGGGCACGATGAATAGGCCAGAATGAGGGGAAACGGAGGACTGTGAGTAAGGATCGAAGGACGGTGGCGCGAACGCCGATGACGGCGCGGCAGTCGTTCATGTCACATACGCGCTAGACTCCTAGCATCCCCAGGTTACCCCCTGGGCGGGTAAACCCACCAGAACTCGTTCTGGCCTTCAAATTACTCCGACGGAAGAACCCCACCGAAGAATCCTCTGGGCGAATCTGGAAAAAGCCATCACCGTCGTCCTCGTGGTTGGTGAGGCGTCCTGGCTGTCTCTTCTGTGTATATTTCCTCTCGCCTTGGCGCGGGCCCCCCTTCCACTCCTTACGTTGTTCCCATCCTCGCCCCCCTGTTTGTTCCGCGCCCCGCCACCTCCCCCCCTTCCTGTTGCATGAGCGCGCATGTCGATGTTCCTCGGCGCCGTCGCCGCCACGGCCAGCACAGGCGCGTTCTCTACAGGTCACGTCGCGCAGCCGTTGGGACAACCCCGCGGGCCAGGCTGTCGGGGCAACCCCGCGAGCCGTTGGCGCGCAAGACCAAGCCGTTGGGACAACCCCGCGGGCTTCGAGCGAGGCGCAGCCGCGCTCAGGCGGAAGGCAGCACGAAGCCCAGCTCTGCCGCGAGCTGCTTCGCCTCCGCCCTGGACAAAACCGCTCTCTTGTCGAACTCCAGGAGCGCCTTCCGCAGGGACGCCGGCGGCCCGCACTCCAGGAACTCTCGCGGCGGCGGCCGCAGGATCAGCATGTTCCGCATGCACGTGGCGCGGGAGAACATGACGTAGAGGTGCAGCCACCACTGCTCGTCCGACATGCCCGTGCGGCCAGCGTCCTCGTCTCTCGCGCAGTCGATGGTGACGCCCTTGCGCAGCGTCTGGCCCTGCGACAGCGTGGAGGTCAGGTAGGACGCGTGCGTCAGGGTGAACCCCGAGCGGCGCACGCTGTGCGCCCCCGAGCTCTGCCATGTGAACTCCCTTTCGCTGGCCTGAACATCAGCAAGCTCCGCGCCCGCGCCTCGGCCTGGCCGTCGTCGTCGGCGCCTTCGGCGCCCTGTCGCAGCACCTCGGCGACCTGAGGAGCCCAAAAACTTCCTTGTTGCATCCAAAGTGTGGCCTGGGAACTGCGTTCTGGCAGCGCGAGAACCCAACATTGACGACAGTTACAGGTTTTGGATGACCTGCTCGGATTACCAACATGATCTGCGGGCCCCATAGGGAGGGGGCTCCCGCCTGAGACTTCCTCGCAGTTCACTCACAGACGAGGCTCCCGCCTGAGACTTCCTCCAAATTCAGGCCTGAGGAGCCCAAAAGTGACGACAGTTACAGGGTTCCGATGACCCGCTCGGATTACCAACATGATCTGCGGGCCCCATAGGGAGGGGGCTCCCGCCTGAGACTTCTTCACAATTCACTCAAAGACGAGGCTCCCGCCAGAGACTTCCTCCAAATTCAGGCTTGACGAGCCCAAAAGTGACGACAGTTACAGGGTTCCGATGACCCGCTCGGATTACCAACATGATCTGCGGGCCCCATAGGGAGGGGGCTCCCGCCTGAGACTTCCTCGCAGTTCACTCACAGACGAGGCTCCCGCCTGAGACTTCCTCCATATTCAGGCTTGAGGAGCCCAAAAGTGACGACAGTTACAGGGTTCCGATGACCCGCTCGGATTACCAACATGATCTGCGGGCCCCATAGGGAGGGGGCTCCCGCCTGAGACTTCTTCACAATTCACTCAAAGACGAGGCTCCCGCCAGAGACTTCCTCCAAATTCAGGCTTGACGAGCCCAAAAGTGACGACAGTTACAGGGTTCCGATGACCCGCTCGGATTACCAACATGATCTGCGGGCCCCATAGGGAGGGGGCTCCCGCCTGAGACTTCCTCAGAATTCACTCACAGACGAGGCTCCCGCCTGAGACTTCCTCCATATTCAGGCTTGAGGAGCCCAAAAGTGACGACAGTTACAGGGTTCCGATGACCCGCTCGGATTACCAACATGATCTGCGGGCCCCATAGGGAGGGGCTCCCGCCTGAGACTTCCTCACAATTCACTCACAGACGAGGCTCCCGCCTGAGACTTCCTCCATTTTCAGGCCTGGGGAGCCCAAAAGTGACGACAGTTACAGGTTCCGATGACCCGCTCGGATTACCAACATGATCTGCGGGCCCCATAGGGAGGGGGCTCCCGCCTGAGACTTCCTCACAATTTACTCAACGATGATGAGGATGAGGATGATGAGTGGTGGTGAAGATGAGTGGTGAAGAGGATGATGATTGATTGTGGGTGGTGGTGGCGATGATGATGTTTGAATGAGGATGATGCCGATACCGATGATGACGATGATGTTCGTGAGCGTGTGAGAGAGTGCGAGTGATGATGATGTGTGTGTGAATGAGTGCGAGGAGAAGAGGGGGTGAGTGAGATCTCTCTCCTGCGCGGGGGTGTGCAGAGAAAACAAGAACCCCACTTTGGATGTGGGGAAAAAGTAACGACAGTTACAGGGTTCCGATGACCCGCCTCGGATTACCAACATGAAGTGCGGGCCCCATAGGGAGGGGGCTCCCGCCTGAGACTTCCTCGCAATTCACTCACAGACGACGCTCCCGCTTGATACTTCCTCCACATTCACGCCCCAGGAGCCCAAAAGTGACGACAGTTACAGGGTTCCGATGACCCGCCTCGGATTACCAACATGAAATGCGGGCCCCATAGGGAGGGGGCCCCCGCCTGAGACTTCATCGCAATTCACTCACAGACGACGCTCCCGCTTGATACTTCCTCCAAATTCACGCCCCAGGAGCCCAAAAGTGACGACAGTTACAGGGTTCCGATGACCCGCCTCGGATTACCAACATGAAGTGCGGGCCCCATAGAGAGAGGCTCCCGCCTGAGACTTCCTCGCAATTCACTCACAGACGACGCTCCCGCTTGATACTTCCTCCATATTCACCCCCCAGGAGCCCAAAAGTGACGACAGTTACAGGGTTCCGATGACCCGCCTCGGATTACCAACATGAGGTGCGGGCCCCATAGGGAGGGGCTCCCGCCTGAGACTTCCTCGCAATTCACTCACAGACGACGCTCCCGCTTGATACTTCCTCCATATTCACGCCCCAGGAGCCCAAAAGTGACGACAGTTACAGGGTTCCGATGACCCGCCTCGGATTACCAACATGAAATGCGGGCCCCATAGGGAGGGGGCTCGCTCCCGCTTGATACTTCCTCCAAATTCACGCCCCAGGAGCCCAAAAGTGACGACAGTTACAAGGTTCCGATGACCCGCCTCGGATTACCAACATGAAGTGCGGGACCCATAGGGAGGGGGCTCCCGCCTGAAACTTCCTCGCAATTCACTCACAGACGACGCTCCCGCCTGATACTTCCTCCAAATTCACGCCCCAGGAGCCCAAAAGTGACGACGGAATTCTCATCCGCATGATGAGGCAGAAGAGGAGAGGGGGTGGGGTGAGTGTTCCTGCGCGGGGTGCGCAGAGAAAACAAGAACCCCACTTTGGATGTGGGGAAAAAAACCAGCCTGCTGCACATGGGCGAGAGCTGCGTTTGTCGAGACATCCCCCCCCCGCTTGTCGTTGCATCCCTCATTGCGCTTCTCATTCTCGCCCTCCTACTCGTCATCCGACTCGTCCCTCCCGCCCGACCTCTGGCTGGAAGCGTCGCACCCGAGAGCAACGCCATCGCGTTCCGAACAGCTGCGTGAACGGCTCACGGCCTACTTCATGCGCAGTGCGTCGCGATACCGCGTGACGAGCAGCGGGTCGATGTCGTCGGGCGTGAGCTCCCACTTGCGAAGCTTGTTCTGCGTTGCCACCATCGCGCTCCTCAGTGAAATCTTGTTGCCCACGAGCGTCGGGTTGGCAAAGGACGAGCACAACTCGCATTCAAATATGAGGCTCTTGATCTGCTTGACCGCCGTCGGCGTCTCAGCATCATTCTCGTCAGCGCCTGTGTAGTCAAGCCCGAAATTTGCTGGTTTCTGCTTCAAGGTCTCGAAGGCGTCCTCGAGCAATGTAAGCTTGTCCTGCCACTCGTGGGTCGGCGCGTCCTTCATGCCCTTCCCGCAGGTCACAAGCAGCTCTGGTAGCGTACCCGCCTTTGGCTTATTGCTCACCCAATCCGTGTACCCGTTAGTCTCGTCGGCTGCCTTGCACAGGTTGTAGCCCTGGTTGACAACATCCGTGGTGTGCTTTTTGCGGATGGCCTCCCCGATGCTGCCGCAGTAGTCGTCACACTCCTGCAGCAGCGTCTTCAAGTTGTGCGAAGCGTTCTCCACGACGGCGTCCAGCGCCAGCGGCTTGAAGTGCACCTTCGCTTTACTGACCATGCGGAAGAGGTCATTGCCCTTCTGCTCGGCGACATCGCTAGCCAGGTCGGCGCCCTCGCCAAGCTCCGCGACGATGGAGCTTTTCAGCTGCAGCACCGACCAGCAAGAGTGGATCATCGCGGCGAGCTGCGTTGAGGAATGCCAATCCTGACTCTGAACTTTCTCTGCGACCATATCCAAACACTGGAAGATGCGGCTATCGGTATCCGTGTACAGCGAAGTCGGCCCATCAGTGAATACACTACTGACAATCCTTTTGAACAGCGCAAGGCATTTAACCTTGACCTCTTCGGGAAACTCCTTGGACTGGTTCTCCTTGATCGACGTCATTAAGGAAACCGTTAAGCCTTCGTCGGCAGGGGCCCAATTGTCGATGGACGACCCGAGCTGAACGAACTTGTCATGCTCGCTCACATCTGCAATCTTCGTGGCGAGGGCGCGGCCAGCGCGCTCGACGCGCTCGCTAGTCGGGAAGAGCTTGGTGAGCTCCTTGAACAGAAACTTCCACTGATGGAGCGCCGTAATGCTAAGGCTGTCGTCATCGGTGGCGGGCGCGGACGGTTTGGCAGCCACTATTGATTCTGCCATCCTGCAGGCCTTGGCCCACAGCTCGTTCTTAGCGGCATCGCATGCGCCATCGTAGAGGTCGACCTCGAAGTAAGGGATGTCCTTCGCGATTTTGACCATGGTGGTTGCGTGTACCTCTTTCGGGGGGACAGCGCCGTTGATGCCATCCAGGTCACTCAGCATCTGCTTCAGCTTCGGCCCGTGGATCTTGATCGCGTCCGAAATGCTGATGGCCCACTTCAGCTTTGCCTCCCAATACCCGCCCGCTGACGTGAGTAAGGACTGGCCAATGACCTGCATCACCGAAGCGTTACCAGTCGTCCTCTTCGCCTCCTTGTCGAGGATGTGGGCGTCGGCGAAGACCGTCAGGTCCGTATCTCTACCGATGTACTTATGGTGCAGTGCGACCAGCAAGCGAACGACAGTAGTTGCCTCCAAGAAGCATCTGGCAGCCGCCTCCCCAAGGTTCGCGTCCTCTGGCAAGGAGCTGAACACTTCGTCAGCAAGTTCGCAGAACAAGACGGCGTCCTCAGCGGACGCGGCACCTGCGGACAGCCAGTTTGAGAACGTGTCGGAGAAGACCCACTCGACGAACGTAGAGGCGACGTCGAGGTCGTGCGAGCAGCCCTGCACCATCGTCACCTTTGTTGGGTCATCCACTTTTTGACCAAATTATCGTCGAATCCCCAGACCACGCACGCGGTCAGGAACTGCTTCAGGAGGTCTCGCTTGCGCTCGGCGGCGCCACTGCCCTCCTGATGGTTGGCCTTGTGCCACAGGCCCATCACGTTGCGCTTCGCGAGGCCCCTGAGGGATTTCGGGGTCAGCACGGCCCCGGCCTTCTGGAGGTCGCTCCACGCGTCGATCAGCTCCTGGTCGTCGACGTTCGCACAGGCATCATCGGAGAACAGCTTCGACTTGTTGAATAGGTCGATATGCGTCTGGAGAGTCTTCTTATCGGTCCCGTTCAGCTTCGACAACAACTGCTTCGCCTGATGCTCAGCCCTGCCACTTTTGTAGCCATTAAACCCGCGTGAATAAGCCAACTCGTGGATCCAGTAATCCTTGGTGCCGAGGGTGTTAGGGTTCGCACTGAGCTCATCAACCACCATGGGATTCGTTGTTCTCATGCTTTTGACCGACCCTGGCGAAGGATCTCCAGCCTTCCTCTTGTCACCAGGGAGGGCTGCTTCTGTTGGGCAGCGCACCGATATCACTTCCGCTCGGGCGCCGCGCCTCTGGGCCCAAGTTCTCGCCAGTTCCCGCGTTGCCGTGCAGGAGGAGCCTTTCGACCGTGAGAGGGGGGACAGGCCCGAGCGATGAGGCGGCTGGACCTCCCGCCCCCCCAGCCGCGGCGGACTCTGCAGCTGCTAACTCCTCGGCGAGGGACTCCTGCTCGCTGGAGTCCCCGTCCTGCTGGTCTGCACGAGGCAGCTTGCGTAGACGCCCCTGTTGAAGGTGTTGGAGGGGTCGTCCTTTGCGTCCTCGTCGTCCTTCGACTTAACGGTCCCCGCGAACATAACTTGCCCGTGCTCCTGGAACATCTCAGCTGCTGAACCCTTGAATGCGCCTGCAGCGTATCCAATCGAGGTATTGTGGAAGATCTTCAGTACTGGGTAGTCTTCCTTGACGCCAGCAGGCAACTTCACAGGGTATATGATCAGCGGCTTCGGGCGGTGCGGAACCAAATAGGGGACCAACTTCAGCGTCTTTGGGCTCTTCTCGTATAGCCTGGTCACGTCACCCTCAGTGAGAGCCGAACATTTCGTGTACATCTCGTGCCCCACCTGGTTGTTCTCGAACAGCTGAAGGCCGCGCTCGTGCAGATGCGGCGTCGCGGTGCCCAGCGCGGGGTGGCTGTCAAACAGGTCGTCCATGTCGCCTGCGTCGAGGTGTTTGACGATCTGCGCCCAGGTCAGGTTCGGCAGTTCCTTCGAAGCCCACTTCGCGCAACCATCGCACGCCTTGTCGCCCTCCACGAGGAGCCCGATGCGGATATCCGCGTTCTCGGCGGTCACATCGAGGAGCGTGATCTCCTTGGGCGCGCGAGGCGGGCAAAGCTACGAGCCCCCTCTCACCATCGCTACAAGCCTAACCACAGTTGTCGTTACCACCCGATGTGTCCCTGGTGACCCCCCGCGGGTTGGGGGTAGCAGTGGGTTGGGGTAGGCACGCAGTGGGTAGGGGGTAGGGGTAGGGCGGTTCAGGCCCAACAATCCCTGTCGGACTTGCCGCACAAGTCGCAGGTGCGAGCGCCAGCGCCCACGCGACGGCGCTGGCCACCTCGGCCGCCGCCTCGGCCGCCTCCGCGGGCAGACTGCGCCTTGAGTGCCCTGCGAACGCCGCCCTTCTGCGCCGCGGGATGCGTCGGCACGCGCCGAGCCGACCCAGCCATGGCCGACGCGGCTAGCTGACCGATCAAAGATCGGGAATGTCCATGCACACCGTGCCAGACTGGGCACTTGCTCGTGGACTCAACCAACGCGCCTCGAACCAATCAGGCTGCGACGGAGGCGCGCCCATGGGGCCCCGCAACCCACGAGCTTGGACACCAAACCTCGCTGGCTCTCATGGCTTATGGCTTAGGAGCTTGGCATTGAGGACGCAACTGCCAAACCATGGTACCGCGCGCGGGCCACAGGCCACAGGCAACCACCCAATGTTTTAATCAAAAGCGGCTCGCCTCGGCACCGTTCCACAATGGATGTTTCGACAATGCCTGCACGTTGGCTATCAGCAATACCCGAACACAGCCCTTCAAATCACCTGGCATGTAGCCTGGGCCTGGGCGACATATCTCTAATTCGGCGCAGCCCCCCAGCAACAACACCCTTAATTAGAAATATCAGAGCGCACCTCCTCATGCTAGGAAGTGTTACACATCTAATTGCAGATAAAATGCTATAATGTGCTGGCTGCTGGCTCGAGGTCCGAATCGGCAGCTGCGCCGCGAAGGTGCCTAATGATTTTTGTTGCGCTCGAGCTCCCTCATCTGGATGAGCCTGTTCACTAGATCTTCTTTCGATCCCGATGTATCTCCGTTCGTCTTAGATACCTGTTGGCGAAGGCTGTTGATGGTAAACTGACGAATCACGTTAGCATCGCGTGAGTTGATTGCCTTCTTGAGGCCATTGGGTACTGGTTTGACGTCCGAGTCAGAGCGCTTATCTTCGTCAAGCTTCTCCTCCGTGGTCTCCTTCACATCTGGCTCAAACAACGTTCTGAACTTCCACCCGAGAACGAATCCGATCACGAAACTGATCGCACAACTCATGATGAAAAGTATTGTCATGAAACTCGTCATGCTCATCTCTGTGATCGTAGAGTTGCTCCTGTCCAGCTTGACGACGGCAAGCTCACACCGAGCCCACATGAACTGCATAAGAAATACGTGCACCTGCAAACGCATGGAGACACGGGCCATGGCTCGAGCTCTGGATCTCAGCTGCTTATAACAGTATGCTCCAATGTGGTCATCTCCCGCCCCCCACCCCCCTCTACCCCTCCACCCTCTTCTCGTGGGCGACTCTAGCGCGCAGGGCTGCTGCTGAATGACTGTGGGAGTGGCGGGGGTGCGGCGGGGGGAAAGGTGTGGAGGGTATTTGTTGGACGGACGATAACCGCACTGGCGCATATAAGGAATAAGAGGGCGCCAAGATAGCGCGCGCAGGTTGCACGGCAGCATTGCAGCCACAATGCTATGTGAGACGCCGATCACAATGATTGACAAACTCAACTCTTTCGGCCAGCCCCCCCGCTCCCCGAGACCCAGACGTCCCAGACAGGCCACGATAACTCCAGGGGCCACCGATGACTGTCGCGAGCAAGACGCCGCCCAAGACTCGCGGAAAAAGCTGCCGGTGGCAACCGAACCCACAACCCTTGGTCACGAAATCAAGCCACGGCCCAGCAAGCGCCACGCCCCCGACAGCCGATCTGACGCCGCAGGCGCCGCGCCTCCAAGGGGCCCACAACCACAGCACGCGACGCAGGACCACGGAGTCGGAGCGAGAGGAGATGCCTAGGGCCCAGGGCCCAGGGGGAAATCTCTCTCTCTCTCTCTCTCTCTCTCTCTCTCTCTCTCTCTCTCTCTCTCTCTCTCTCTCTCTCTCTCTCTCTCTCTCTCTCTCTCTCTCTCTCTCTCTCTCTCTCTCTCTCTCTCTCTCTCTCTCTCTCTCTCTCTCTCTCTCTCTCTCTCTCTCTCTCTCCCCCCCCATCTCTCTCCCTGAATCCCCTCTAATCCCCCGACTCCTCCTCCCCCGAACCGCCGCCCACGAATGTGGGCCCCCAAGTGGGGCTCAACCGCCCGCCGCCCCACAAGCGTGGGGCATCTCCCCGCGAAAGCCCACGGACGGAGGGCAGGCGGTGGCGCCAAGTGGCATGTACGTGCCTCCCCCGCCTCCTCCTTTGATCTCTCTCTCTCTCTCTCTCTCTCTCTCTCTCTCTCTCTCTCTCTCTCTCTCTCTATCCCACCCCCCATCTCTCTCACTCTATATATCTACCCTTCTATCATCTATCATCTATCGATCCCTCTTGAAGGAGGCGGGTGAGGGGGGCGAGAATAGACGAGGGGGAGGAAACGGATAAGGGAAGATGCCATGGGAGAGGAAAGAGGAGAATGAGAAAGAGGAGAAGGAGAGGAAGAGAAAGAGAGAGGGGCCTGCTGATTGCTATGTTACAAAGGGAGTCGGAGCGAGAGGACTCGGCTATATGGCTAGGGGCTAGACGGCTAGACAACTCTTCTGGATTCGGCTCGACTGCAGTGCTTGGGCACCAACCACGACCCCAAAGAAGCCAACTCCATACCTAGCCTAACTCAAAATCTAACCTGAGTTTACACTCAAAGCGCTGCCTAAGGAAAATAAAATTTACTTGGCAGCTCACATTCCTGCTGCATAGAGTGCCACTGGCACCTCACCACACCCTAGTGTGGCCCCTTAGACGGCGTGGCGAATACAATTCGCTGTGGGCAAACGCTCCTGTGCACATGGGCTTGCCAATAACGTCGCTGCCTAAGGAGCCATCCCACCCCCCCGCATCCCGCACGCCCTCCCCACTCTCCACCCACACCCCCACACCCACCCCGCCACCACCAGGCCACCAACCCACCTACGCCCTATAACGCACCACGAAAATCCTGGGGTGCGAGGCGGAACTGCAGTAGCAGTGATGTCTAATGCCTAATGTCTAATCGGAAGCCTCAATCCAATAGCCTATAACACGAAACTCCAACCCATTGCGTCGCAAATGATGGCTAGCCTTGGCTAGCTGGACACACAATCCTCCAAGCCACTTGGCCAAATCTAAGGTTTGCATTCGCAGTAGGAGTATGCCCCCTTATGAAGCCCTGCGGGTTTAAACGAATGAAGGATCGATGACTGAGGATTGGGGGCCGAGGGTCGATGGGGAGGGGCCGAGGGTCGAGGGTCAAGTGCGGGGAGAGGTTTAAGCTCTAAGATCTCGCTGGGGCGCGCCGAGACGACGCACAAGATCAGTTCTAGCGCTGAGCGTTAGGCGGCTCTGCTGGCGAGCCGCCGCTCGCAACTTGAGATAGGAAAGCGTCGGCGCATAACAAACGAACCCGAATGCATGCTGACCCGCCAGCCGTCATATTCCCAATTTTGGGACGACGTCCTGGAACAGCAGATGCGCGCCATCTCTTATACCTTATACAAAATCCTGGTCTCTGGCCGCAGCGTGTAAGCAGATATACCAGTAGTCGTAACAGTAATTGTCGATGTTGATTTAGCATATATCCATACTGTTATATAGAATATAGATGCCGTTGCTTCCGTAGAAACAACAATAGCATAGAAGCGTCGCCGACGCCGTGACAAACATATAGCGCGCCTGCAGCCAGGTGCCAGGGAGAACGTCTTGTTCTTCACAAGGTACACTCAGAGAACGGAGCAGGCCGCCCCCTACTCTGCAGTGGCCGAAAACGAAGGTCCAGCCGCAAGTGGCTGGTGCACCAGGTTGTCGCTGGAATCCGCGTGCTGGTTGCGCGGCGGAAGCGCCCCCGTGCTGGCCGAAAGCGAAAACCCAGGAGGCGCAGGGCGCGGGCGCCCCCTCATGCACATTCCCTGGACCACCGTATCTAGGTTCGCAAGCTGCTTTTCAATGGCCGTCTGCCCGTTGATTGACTGGTCGACGCGGGTCTTGAGCTCCATGACCTCGGTTGTCAGCACCGTATTGCTTGTAATCATGGCCGCCAACGCGGACCTCCGGTCCTCCATGCCTTTGGTTACGCCTTCGAGGGCATTCTTGATCAAGCCCATGTCTTGCGTGATGGCGTCGAGGTAGTGCTTAGTCCGAGTACAGCTGACGGCGTCCAAGTCCATCTCCATTGGGTCGCATGCATCGCTGGCAGCTCCATCCGCTGCGCCGCCAGCTGCGGCGCCTCCTCCGTCAGCTCCACGTGCTGAGCCATCGGCGGCACCTGCAGCACTACCTCCGTCTGAACCACGGGCTGCGCCATCATCACTACCTGCTGCGGCGCGTCCGTCGGCCCCGCCTGCTGCGCCAGTAGCGTGACCGACGCTTCCACATGGCGCGCCCTTGCCGCGACCTCCCTTGCCGCGACCTCCGAGACCTTGAGCGGCCGCCCTCGCCCACTGGTCGCCGTTGTCCTGGGTTCCTTGCTCGTCGCTGGGAGGGCTGTCGTGATCCTTCCAATACCTGTCGTTGATCTCCCTGCTTTCCCAATCTGCCTTTGGGCAATGCGGCCTCGTTCTGTACCCTGGCTGATCGCGCCCGTACAACCAATACCACGCTTTCTGCCTGTGGCGAGAATTCAGCAAATGCCCTGGCGACTGTACCCATGTATCGCACGGAATGCACTTCATGTGCCCTGCTACCATCTGCACGTACGGCGAGCCTCGGCGCACTCCGTTGATCAACATCGTCTCTGGCCAATTGCGCCCATCCGCCATTGCGGTCAAACGTCCGTTGAACAATATCGTCTCTGGCGATAGGCGATAGGCGGTGCCCTGCTGAAAGCAAAGCAAGCCCCGTGCTGCAATGTGTAAGCAGCAGT